GGCAGCTGCCAGGAAGATATTTAACAAAGTTCATTATTCTTATTAATTAGAGCTCCAGGAAGACATCTTTGAGAATGAAAGTTATTCTATGCTGTAAGAGCTTTGTGGTCAGAGCTTGAGAAGGGAAATTGTGCTCTCTCTTTTACAGCATGCCAGGGGCATAGCAGAGGATATTCCTCCCTAGTCCCCAGGATCAGCAACTACTTCATACATACTTGCTATATGTAGACATGAAGACAGGGACGGGAATCCATATGCGCATACTGTCCACTGTTTGTTTCCAAGTATTCTTGAAAACAGTGCAGCTTCTTTATGTTAATATGTAGAAGTATTAAATACAGAGATTGTATTCTTTGCAGAGAATACATGAAATAACACCCTTTGTTTATGAGAACTGTCCAGAATGCTATTCCTCTCTAACCAGTTTTAATTTTAAGCACTGCACTACCCATGACTTTTTTTTTTTTTAAAGATTTATTTATGTATACAGAACTGTGGTACAGGCCAGAGGTGGTGAGAGGATTCACCAGAGACAGAGTGGGGAGCAGAACAGGCTGACTGATGAAGTACACTACTGAGTGGAGCAGCGGTTGGGTCAGGAGAGGTCTGCTTCGCCATGTGGGTCACCTCTGGGGCGGGAATCAAACTCATGCTGAAGTGGATTTAGCTTCTTAGGGCTGTGCTTTAACCTGCTGCGCCACCAGGGAGAGCCCCTACCCATGACTTCTTAACAAGGCTTGTATAGATCATAGACATTTCCTTTATCAAGGGTTGGGTGACAATGAAGAAGAATAACTTGAGTTATGGTAACATAACATTTATGGTTAGATATTCCAATTATATTAGTTAGGTCAGCTTGCCTTAACCCCACAAAACAGCATCCTTATTAATTATATTATTTCCTCCTTTTGACATAGAGGTCAACATTTAAATGTGAAAAGGCTGATCCTAGGCGCTCTATCTTTCTGTACTACACTATTGCTTACTGAATTTTCATTATATGTCTAACACTTTTCTAAGTGCTGTACATGGAATACCTTACTTAATTAAAAAATAAGCCTTGAAGGAAGTCAATACTATTATCATCTCATCTTTCAGACAAGGAACCTGAGAAAATGGCTGGTGAAGTAATTTATCTAGGATGCCTGGCAAGTTGACATGAGTAAGAGTTCAAATTCATCCTTATTCTGGAATCCACTTTCTTAAATTCTAACATGCAGTTCAAATACTTTGGACTAGGGGTAGGCCAATGCAGACCCAAAACCTAGTGCAGTCCACCACCTGGTTTTGTGAGTTGGGATTTATTGGAATATAACTCTGTTCATTTACTTAAGTTTTGTGTATTGCTGTTTAATGTTTCAGTGGCTGAATTGATGAGTTATGACAGAAACCATCAGATCCATAAGTCTTTAATATAATAGTACTCCACTTGTAGAAAACCTTAGCCAGCTACTGCTTTATACCCTAAATATATGTTTTCTCAATTATTATTTTCAAATCTATTTTGGCTTTGCTAATCCCTCATTTTATAACTTTCAGCATATCACTCAACCTCTAGTATAAAGTATATCAGTTTCCCATCTATTGAGTGATGAGAATAGATCTAATTCTTAGGGGTATAATGATTATTAAGTATGTTAATGTGTATTTAATTAATGTAACTTGGGGATCAGAAACTGACTTTTATACAGTTTTAGTTATTGCTCCTTTAGCTTCTTCAGAAGACTAAGAGATGAGCAGAAAATAAAAATTGAGGCCTGAATATATTGGGGAAATTCTCAATGAGTTGAAAGTTTATTGAATCAACACTTATTAAATATCTTTCTACATTCAAACTTTACAGAGTACACTTTGAAAATAGGTGGATGAAAGGTCAGGCCTTTAGACAACTTGCAATACAACGGAAAGCTCATAATATTAGCACAAGAAGACAAATTAAATTTCTTTGGTGTCATTAATATGTGAAATATAAAGTAATGAAATTAATAGTCTGATAAAGATAAGCTGAAAAACATACCTTGGGTAGCTGACTATGGCACTTATGCACCAAATGTAAACTTAAACAGTTTATGTGATATCATAACCTGTTTACTTAGTCATAAAAATGACAAATTAATAATGCCAGGACCAATCACTCAGTCATATATTTGACAAGCATTTATTGAACAGTTACTAAATGCCAACAATTTTTGGGCTTATGTATATAGCAGTTAAATAGCATGTATGTAAAACCTTTCCTTGTGAGCTTTTATTCTACTGTTGTGAGTGTTAAGCATTTAATGCAAGGTCTGGTACGCACTATGTTTGCAAACAATGATAGGCCATTGCCATTTGATGACAATGCTGATGATCATGATGATGATGATGAGAATGAAATGGGGGAAGAGGATTTCAGATACCAGTACCTCATTCTAGGTTAATAATAGCGTTAAAATTCTGTTTCTGGGAAGTTATTTCTGATCCATGACCTTGAGCCTGCATTTTCTATTTTGATCATCTCCCACAGGGAGTAATCTGAGTTGAGATTTGCAGTTCCTGAGGAGGGAGGAGGCGGGGGTCTTTATTGGTGTGACTTAGTCTTTACTAATGCATTTATTCAGTGACTAATTCAATATTTGCAATTTATTAATTGTTATTAAGGTTTTTTTTTAAGATTTATTTATTTGTGCACACAGAACTGGGGTACAGGCCAAAGGCTTAGAGGTGGCGAGAGGCTTCACCAGAGACAGAGTGGGTAGCAGAATAGGCAGATTGATGAAGTACACTGCTGAGGGGAGCAGCGGGTGGGTCAGGAAAAGTCTGCCACGCCATGTGGTCACCTCCGGGGCAGGTGGGAATCGAACTCATGCGGAAGTGGCTTTAGCTCCTCAGTGCTGTGCTTTAACCCGCTGTGCCACCTTTAATTAAACAGGGAGGGCCTGTTTAATTAAAGTTTTACGTCATCCCCTCCTATAGCTATTGGAAATATTTATATTCATTTAAAGGCCACTTTATGGACTAAGTGAAAATATATTCTTTAAATCATAAAATATCAATATTTGAATGAAAGTTGTCCACATGTTTAGAAAAACATTTCATTAATAGGTGAGAGATATCAAAAAAATCTGTTGGGAAAGTAATACTGTACGGCAACTATGTGAGTATGTCATTACTAGGTGTGGCCCATGCCAAGTGGAAGTGGAATTTGAAGGTTGTCATGGAGGAGGCTTCAAGGAGAAAGACATGAGGAGTGTAGAAAAATATCCAGAACTGATTAGCCACCGATGAGATTGTGCTTATTTTTTTTTTTCTTTAACTTCTACAAATAGCTCCCCTCACAAAAGTCATTTTGGAAACTTATCTTTCAAAGTTCGTAAAGACATCAATGATTTTAGCTATCTTGACTTAAAGAGGGTAATTTATCATCTAGTCAAGTGTGCATGAGTCTGCCAGGAAAGCTGTGAGCCAACATACATCATACTCAGTAACTTCCAGGATTTGGTTTGCCTTCTTACGTGTATTTGAATATAGAATTCATTTCAATCTGACATTTTTTACCTCTCATCATATTTTTCTTCTAATTAAGTTCTATAAATGTATCCTTACCCAGTTTGAGCTGTAATAAATTCATTTCCTGAATTGGTCTTCTGAAAGTCAGAAACTAACATTATGATGAATTGCCAAATAAATAATTTCCCTTTTATTGTGTTTATTTTGAGCAGCATGTGCTGGAAAAACAAAATGGAAACAATGATTCACTTAGAAAGAAGGTCCTGCTCTTGGTCATTTGTCTATGAGTTGAACATTCTCAGCTCTGTTGGATCTGAGTCCATTTCCAGAACTGTACTGGTATAATACAAGGAAATGGTTTTCCATTTCAAATGTTTGGGACTTTCTGGTATTAGTGTAAGGCACCCATAACGAGAAAAGTTTTGCTCTATTGTAATCCTGAAGTTACAAGGACTAAATACAGTATCATTGGGAATTGAATTCCTGAAGTCTACATTGCAGGAGAAAGGAGTCATTATTTGTTTTACTTTACCATAGAGTCAAGTAAATCCATTATATCTTTGAGTTGAGAGGGCTATGCTGAAATTGAAAGATTTCTTACTAATGTTTAGGTTGTCTTATAATAAATGTTTAACAGTGGTCACATTTGTTCCTGATACACTGTAAAACATAGATGAAACTCTTATATAAATAAGATTAAAGCATTGCCATAGATAAAATATCAGGCATTAACCTTGCAGACTCTTGATTTTAGAATGGTTTAGCTCTAATATTTAAATAGCCACAGTGATCATAGCCTGGTTCAAATAAAACAGCTTAATGTGTTAATCATTAATTTTACATCTTTCTCATTTCTCTCTATGCCTTTGTGGAGTGGAAATTGCCTTATGCACCCTGAATTCATTACCACAATTTGTGTACTGTGCATTGACTGAAGCCAATTTAAGTGGTGTATTAGCACGGAATTTGAGCTTCTTTTCTTTGTGTATATAGTGGGCCAAAGAGTGAGTGTTTCATTTATAGTATTTATTATAGAACTATGATAATATGGTTATGATTCATGATTGTTTCCTAGATAATACATGATTTAAGATCTGCTGTCTTCTGACAAGAATTTTGATTTCCTGTAGTACATATGGCTACTGGTCCAAGTAATCTAGCACCACATTATCACTGGCATAACTTTCTCTATATGAAGGAAAAGCAGAATCATTGTTTGCAAACCAAAATTAAACATGAACAATAATCTAAATCAACTCACCTTATTTTGCAGCCAAGGAATCTGAGTTCAAGTAAGTTAATTAATTCTGTTGATCATGCTCAGGAAGCCGTAGTGTTGGAACTGTAGAGCTAGCCCCAGGGAACCTGGTTCCTCTGACTCCCACTCCTGTTCCCTATGTACTGTTTTGCTGACTTGCTGAATAGAAATAATTATTGTGTTTCATTTATTCAGAATATGACACCATTCCTGGTAATCTCCTTGTGACTGTCTCTTCTCTCTTCCTGTGCAGCATTGTCATGCATCCCCGCAAAGATATCTTAGTCACCTGTGGAGAGGACCACCTTTGGAAGATGGTGGGTCTCCCCAAAGGCAATGTGCTTCTCACCGGGTTCGGTCACACTGACTGGCTTTCAGGTTGCTGCTTCCACTTCAGGTCAGTACCTATAACTCCCTGCACAAAGCTAATATCTCTAGAAAATACACTTGTTCACTCTGTTTCTTCACTGTGCTGTTTTTAAAGGCACTTTGTAGGCACATGATTAACACACTAAAAGTGCACAAATATTAGATAAAATTTGGTGAGTAAAGAGATAAATATACACCCTTATGACCTTCACTTCAGTTTGCACCATAAATATGCTTGTTATTGCCACATTTCCTTCTACCCACTTCCTTGATGA